GATTTGGCTGAACCGGTGTCTTGGATGGACTTGGAGACATAGGAATGAACATCTTACTAGAGTTTCACATCGCTCCATTCGACAAGCCATATCAATGTCAGTGAAATGTTTGTCCACTTGGCATGGTCGCAAGTACTGTGTGGAATGCTCAGGGGGACCAGCGGTCGCAGTGCCCAGCGCCCTTTGGGACGGAAGGGGGTGGCAAGCGTGGATGCAGCGAAGCTTGCAAGCATACTTTGGCATTTGGGGGGTGGGCGCTGCCTATCTATCTATCTATATACCTATATCTATCTGTCTATCTATCTAACTACCTATCTATCTACCTACCTTTCTACTATCTATCGATCGATCGACCTATCTATCTGTCCACCAATATTCAGATGGCCCACTCCCATCCTTCCCAGCCCCATCTTGAATCCTTTGGTCTTGGGACCATGACCTTTGAATAGAAGAGCGTTCTCAAAACAATGTCTTGAGTTTTCACCATGTCAACTCATTCGGCTTTGCATACCGGTGCCTCGAGCCAGCGCAGCGGTTACCAGGCACCTAGGAACCTTAGGCGCGGGCGGGGGCTCATGCCGATGTCCGACCGGTCTCCATCAGAGCTCGACGATGAAAGCGAGCAAGATATCGAGTATGTAAGAGCCCTGCAGCAGATTGGGGAAGCCATGTATGACTCCATGGACCAAGAACACAAGGACTAATTTTTCCAAACCCTCAAGAGTGTCAGTCTTACAATGTAGTTGCACACACTGCCGGAAAGAACTTCTTGATCGAGCCAACCTTGGATACATGCACTTACAATCTTTGGCAGGACGCTGCAATACCAGGTCTCGGTGAGACTCCTGGACTACCCATTTTGACTGGTGATTTCCTTCGGACTGGCGAGGACTTAGTGAGCCTGGGGCTGCAAAGGGGTTGGAGAGTGCAGGTGCAGGTGGAAGATTGGAGTGAGTAGTTTTTGTTATGCTTGTATTGTTGGGGCCTTGAGGAAGGGAAACCACTGGGTCCTCAATGCTCTTCTGGACCATCCGCCTTTCACGTGCAGAGCTCCGTCCAAACCGGAGATGAAAGTCGTCTGGCGGTCTTTCAATTGTGCATCCAAGGCTAGGCTTGTCAGTTGAGCGTGTTTGGAACATATTGGACGGGCTCTAGGCAACATGCTATAGATCAGATCTGTTTGAGCAGGGGCTGGCTATACGTGGGACTGAGCAGCTGACTGAAGACCAGCAGTTGGAGCTCCTGGTCTACAAGAGCCGCATTCTGTGGTCTTCTTTGAGAAGGCCAGAATGGGGTGAAGGAAAGTGAGACTGCTGTCTTGAATCTTCAGCCTTTGAGCCTTTTGTGTTTGCATCGAGCCTTTCACTTTTTCCTTGCCTCTTTGGACATTGAGACCCCTGCAGTCTATGGAGAAACAGCAAAGCGAGGAGTCGAGATCCTGTTCTTCAGTCGCTCAAAGATTCTATGATGAAGCGTCATGGGCGTGAGGATTTTATCAAACCTCGCCCAAGCAACAGCGAGGAGGAAACACTAACCTGTTCAATGGTGTTTGCTTTGGGTCGGTGATGGTGTGTTGGATGGCCTTCATGTCTGGCCATGGTTGTTTTGTGTTTGCTGGTGCAGGAGGACATGGCAGCTCTTGCTGACATGGGTGAGCTGCATTCAAGCTCGGATGAGTCTCCAGGTGTATGGGACCAGGTGCTTTTGGCACATTGTATGTACATTGTGTGTGTGTGTGTACGAATGTAAGCTTTCGATGAGACCTGTGGTTCGGAAGCTTGTGGATGCAGGTCTTGCGTGAAGATATTCCAATGGCGCACGGAACTGTGGAACCTGTTTGCCTCACGCCACTTGATGGCCAAGTTGTGTGTGAGGATCCAGTTTTGGTGGATGAATGCGCAAGTGACCCTGACAGTGACACTTCAGGGGATGATCCAGGTGACTCTGCCACTGAGCCTTTTCCAGAGGCGTCTAAGGTTGAGGAACTTGAAGTCATGGAATTGGACCCACCCCGCAAGGAGGTATTTCACAGGGATCTTGCTGCCAAACACCTCAGCATGGAAGTTTCTTGGCTTAAACATGCCTTGATTTCAAGAATGGTCAACAAGCCTTCATTCTCGGCTTTCATTCTTGGATTTCATTGCGTACCATGCCACTTGTGAAGCTTTTGTTAGGCTCCTCAGGGCTTGAAGCGTGCCCTTTCACAGATCTGGGCGGACCCGCCAGAAGCTGTGCCCACTGTACCGGAGAAGGGAAACGCGGACAAAAAGAAGAAGAAGAAGAAAGATAAGAAGAGGAAAGATAAGAAGAGGGACAAACATGCAGGCCATTTGCACAGCAGATGTTGTGACTTGTTTTGGACCAAGAGTATGGGAGTGTGGGTGCAGGTGAAGAAGCTGGTTTGGTTCGCATGGCTGAAGCGTCAAGTTCCAGCAGACCGGAGGGTGTTTGCCTGAGCTGAAGAGCAGCTGTTCTGTGAAGCATGTAAGAATAGTTTCTGTTACATCACACTGCAATGCTAATTTTCCACTTGGTCTAGCCTGTGAAAAAAGACCCCCACAAGTCCGGTTTTTCCCCTTCAAAACCTGCATTTCAATCAGGTCGAACCGGACTTGTGGGGGTCTTTTATTGCAGGCCAATCCATGTGGAAAGTTACAACACTGCAAGTGCCATCAGGCACAGACGCTGTGATCAATTCTTTCCCGGAGCACTACCAGAAGCTCATTAAGATGCTTCCCGATATCTTCCAGCCGGAGAATGCTAAGCATGGTGCACACTCTTACACAAAGTGTTTAGTCAGCAGTTCTGTGCAGTTTTATGACCAGCCAATTGGGGTTGCATACATGAGTTTCCCCATCTGCTCTTTTGCGCAACCTCCTCATCAGCAACTTAAACTTACCTGAGGAAAATCCATGGAGCGAGGGTCGAGATCCTGTTGCGCCACGCAGCATTCAAAGCAAAAACCGATACCAAGGGTGTTGCGCTTGAGAAAGCTTCCCAGCGTCTTAGCTAGTCAAATGTGCATGCTGTTTACCTTAAAGCTTGGATGATACTCTTTTGCCATTGGCCCATCCCCTTTTGCCAATGGCTCATCTGAGGATCGGCTTTCAGAAGGACCCAGAAGAGGCCATCCAGAGACTATGGAAGGCGATCAAGTATGAGGTGTAGATGTCTTTCGCACACCCTCCCTAGATAGTTTCCAGACCAGAACATGTTCCTGGCTTAGAGCAACAACCTTAGAAACACTTGCTTAGCAACTATGGGGGGGATGTGCAGGGGTTGTCAACGCTTGATCGGCGTTGCCGAGCGACTTAGCTGGGGAGCCGTGCCAGATGGAAAGAAAAGCTCCTGCAGCAATAAGTGGGTGCAGCAATTACCGTTGAACATGTCCATGAGTGAGAGCCAAGGAATTGTATGGTTGCGCGCTGCTGCATCAGCATCCTGACGCTCTCTTGTTTGGGGGTACCATGGATGCTCGAGCAGCCCGCCAGCTCTGTTCTTGAATACCACCCGTGTTTCCAATTCATTGCGAAGAAGTTTTCTATATACAAGGCCTGGCTGTCAAGATGTGAAGTGATCGCATATCCATCAAAATGACCACTCACTTCATCCTAGCCCATGACCAAAAAGTCATTTGGCAGGTCTGGATCTGGCTTGGAAGCTATGGCCATGACTGCACTTTGGTCAACAGAACTCTTTAGCTCCCAACAGAACTTTGTACCCTTCAGGTTTGAGAGTGTACTTTGGAGCTTTTACCTGGCTAGAAAAGTTCCTATAGCCAAGTGAAAGCTCACAACCAAGGCCCCAAGCCCACATACATCTACAGCAACTGCCGCTACTTGCTGAAAGAGCTCTATCTTCCCCTTGTGGACAAGCACTGGGATGCAGACATGGTGAAACGGCGCCCTTGACCATTTCTCTTGCCTTTGACCTTTCTGTTTCGTTCTCTTGCCCTTACCAAGAGGGGTCAAGAGGTCTCAAAACGGATAATAGACGGTAAGGACCTTGACCCCTCTTGGTAGCCTTTCTCGTTTTCTTTCCAGAATGTTGCTTATAAGGTATGTGGATCAGGAAGGACAAGATCGGATATGTGGGTCTACCGACCTCAAGCGATCTCAACATTACCCGGTTATGTTTGGGAGGACAGACATGGTAAAGCCCACTATAGGTTGTTTGGTTTAACTGTCTTGGTGTGTGAGGACTGTGGCTGAAACAGCCATCCGCTATATGGACACAACCAAGGGCGACATGAAAGCCCGAAGGACCCATCCAACCCTGTTGAACCGTCCTCGATATTCGAATCCACGCAGGACATTCTTGAAGAAGAATCCTCAGCCGGAAATGCAGGACTGTTTCACGCTTTCACGCTTTCACGGTTTCACGGTTTCACGGTTCTTGGCCCATGTATGATCTTTTTCAATATATATATATATAGAGAGAGATCCTTTCAAGAGAACTGTTCATACAGGACATCGGATGGAACAAGATGGCAGGGCTTCGCTCTGTGATTGCAGCTATCCATACATAGCTGCTGCATCTTTGCTTCTTAATGTGGGAGGTTTTACTGCAGTGCCCCCAAACTGGACCATGGCTCTTTTGAAATCGTGTGTTGGGTTTCTAAATCTTGGAATTGTCATGAGTGTTTGGGTCAGAGATGGCTTCAGCAGCTTTATTTCCAACAATTAGCGACAATTAGTTGACAATTAGCCTTCCAGCACCACCCATACAATCCGTGAAAAAGCCGTGAAAAGCCGTGAAATTCATGGGGATTTTCATGCTTTTGGAATTGCTCTGAAAATTCAATCATTGGTGTGGTGCTGGGCTGGAATGCGAGCGTCCGTGAGCAGTCTGAAAGGAAGTTTCACTCGTTTTCTTTGAGTTGAACCATTCAGGATGGCAATCAATCATGCATCCAACACATGTGCACATGTGGAACATATGATATTCGTAGATCAAGGCCGGGCTTAGCTGTGTAGTTTGGATCCTGGCTTACTTTGGCCATGTCGGAAGTCGTTCGAAGGCGACATCGAGGGAAGACCCCTGACCCCAACCTGAAGTCACCACCACCAGCAAAGGCCTTGACCAAAGCTGAGGGTGTTCTGAAAAAGAATAAGAAGAACAAAGGGGTTACCGTCAAGAACTGTGCCAAGCCTTTGAAAAGGTCCCTGAGCTTTGATGAGACCGTGAAGGTCCATCCGATCGAAGCTGAGAACCCCGCACCACCGAAGACCAAGAGGTCTTCGAAGGCTTCACCTGCCAGCATGTCGGTCGAGGATGCTGATGAGATCTTGCGTAGCATTCCTGTTCACCCCTCAGGATCGATGTCCTTGTTACAAACCTGTTCACCCTGTATAGGTGGTCTCTTCAATGATGCCTTTTCAGCTTAGGCTAAGTCGTCAGGGGCTCCACCATCCGACAGCGAAAGCAACCCCGCAGATACAGAGGCAGGTGAAGTCACTTAGGTGTAACTGGGGGTGTTCTCAATCCTTGCAGGACTCTGCAAGCTCGGATGAGGAGGAGTCTGCTCAGGTGCACCGATGGACTACCCCAAACCTGGCATACCCAATCTCAGATCTTCGAAGATGGCTAGTACCTGGTTCCATTTGGGAGTTTCGTGCAAAGGCAGAAGTGAAGAAAAAGAAGAGTAAGACAAAGAAGGCAGACAAGAAAAGAAAGGATGAAGACGCAGCAGACAAGAAGACCAAGAAAGAGGAAGCCAAGAAGGAGGATGAAAAGAAGAAGGAGGAAACAAAGAAGAGTAAGAGCAAGAAGGAGGAGAAGGAGGATAGTGAGAGTGAGGACATCACCGAGACTGAGAGTGAGAGCACAGAGGAGGAAGGAGCAGAGGGTGATAGCAGTGATTGCGATGAAGATGAGAAGGAGGCTGTGCAGAAGAAGGATGAAAAGAAGGCTAAGGGAAAGAAGGCCGAAGACACAAAAAAGAAGGAGGCAGAAGAGAAAAGGAAGAAGGAGGCAGAAGAGAAGAAGAAGAAGGATTCAGAAGAGAAAAGGAAGAAGGAGGCAGAGGAGAAAAAGAAGAAGGAGGCTGAAGAGAAAAAGAAGAAGGAGGCAGAAGAGAAAAAGAAGAAGGAGGCAGAAGAGCAAAAGAAGAAGGAGGCAGAAGATAAGGCCGAGGCTGAGCGTAAGAAGACAAAGAAGGATGATAAGAAGAAGAAGAATGACAAGGAGTCCGATGAGAAGGATGGCAAGAAGAAGAAGAAGCAGGATGAGAAGAGTGGAGAGAAGAAGGAGAAGGAGGATGCATGTAAGAAGAGAAAGAAGGATGCAAAAGATAGTGACGCGAAGAAGGAGAACAAGAAGAAGAAGGAAGAGTCTGAGACCGAGGTTGAGGAAACGGAGGAGGATGAAAGCAGTGAGAAGGAGGAAGATGAGAGCTCAGAGGATAGCAGCGAGAGCCAAGACGCTGCAGAGACAAGTGAAGAAGGTGAGGTTGAAGAAGAAGACGATGATGAGGAAGCTGAGAGTGAAGATGAGAGCGATGCTGAGGATGAGAAAAGCGGGAGCGATGCTGACAAAAAACGCAGCAAGAAGGAGGAAGCTGGAGATGAGAAGGAAAGCAGCAAGAAGGGCAAGAAGAGAAAGGCAAGGGAGCCTTCACCGGCAAGCGAAAAGAAGTTGGCAGAGGCTGAGAAGAGTGTGGTCAAAGAGAACAAGGAGGTTGTGAACAGTTCTTCACACAGAGCAGAGTATATGAAATTCAAGCGGTGGATTGGAAACAAGAGGGGAAGGTTCCCATCAAAGCTCACTTCAGCTTTGCAGAACAAGGATGGGAGAACGGTCTGCGGTCCATACCCATGTAAAAAACATGACCCAACTCCTCAAAAACATACCCATGTAAAAATATGTCCCTGTGCGTCTCTTGAAAAAGAAAGATAATCCTTTTCCTAAGTATCGCTTGCGCCAGGAGTCAAGAGACAAATTGTTCCAGGACTTCGTGGAACTGAAAGGTGATGCTGCGGAGATTGTTCTCCGACATGAGGCCCGTTTGGAAGAGACCCAGAAAACGGAAATCAAATGGGGGTTCCGCCCATTGAAGTGGATGCAAGACCGACATGGGGAATCCAAAGCGGCCAAGTTGGTGAAGCGGAAACAGGAGCTGGGTCTGTTTCTCGTCCTCCCTTCATTGTCTTCCCTTCATGTCCTTGCCTCCATGTAGCAATCCGCCACAGGCCATGCGAGGGTATCCTCGTTGGTCAAACCTCAGCCAAGGTTCATTCAAGACCCGGAGCTTCCGGACGATTCCGATGAGAGACTTTGGTTTACAATAGTGAATCTAGACCTGTCCAACATCAGCGAGTTGCGCCGGATTACAAAGCTAGAGATGGAGGGGACCATCGACAAAGCTGGCCTTGAAGAGTTCACCAAAGTCCCTAGACTCATAAACTGAAGGTTCCAGGTTCCATGTTTTGAGATGCATCGTCCTGTCAGCCCTGTGTTTTGGATGCCATATCCCTCTTGTGAGGCTGGTGGCATCATTGACCCCAAAGCCCAGCTGAAGATTGGAGATTTGGGCAGCGGCTTGGGAGTTGGGAAGCTCCTTGATGTGATGGGGGAAAAGAAGAAGACTCCCCGGCCAAAAAGTGAAGCACACCCCGAGAAGGCGATGTTTGGTGTATAGATGGATAGATACACATGCAATATGGATGGGTAGATACACATGCAAGATGGAAATCAAAGGACACACACCTGATATTTTGCCAGGTGGTTCCGGAAACCGCTCTGGGACACGCTGGCAACCTATTGACCAAAGTCCTGAAGGATGTGAATGAGTGCAGGTCAGTACCCTAATCTTTCCTTTGTCTAGTCTGAAACCTTACCTATCCTGGTCCCTTCTGCTCAGGACCCAGGCATTTCGACTCCAACCGCTACAAATGTCTGGGGATCTGATCAAACAGTTGAATGCAGTTGCAGTGAAGTTGGAGTCTTGCGCGAACAGCCTGCAAGAGCTCATTAACCAGAAGAAGAACAAACACAAATACTATAAGGATGTCATCGAGGAGGTGCGGAATCCAACATAACCAAGCAACCCAAAAAACATATGTTCCTCAAAAAAACACGAGATGTCTAACATATGTTCCTCAACCACCTTGCCACAGGTCAATCGCCTGACTGAGATGGGGAAAGAACGGCTCGAATTGGCTCGGGCATTAGTGCGGGCGTCCGACAAGTCGGCAAACCCAAAGGCCAAAGCTAAGGCAAAAGCCCAGGCTGGCAAAGACAAGGAAGCTCCTGCCACTGAGGCCTAGGAACGTAGGCAGTGCTCATGGTAGCTAGATCTTTTCGAAGTAGGTACCCTCATGATAGCTAGATCTTATGGTAGGTAGTGCTCATGATAGGTATAGTACCCTTGCGTGTCTGCACTGTTGGAACCACAAAGGTTTTGAGTTGTTTTTGGAATGACCAATTAAGGCTTTCCGTGGGTCTGCCTACGTTTGCCCAGGGTATGGACCGACCAGTGCTTCAATGTTTCCCATGTTTGGCCACGTACGATGGCTGCGCAAGCGTGGGGCACCTCACAGATTAAAATAATCATGTGGGGAAATTGGGGATCAAGCTTGCGCCTTCGAGTGGGCCAGAAGAAAAAGGGGCTCATCTATGTCAGGCTCAGCCGGTACCCATGGCCAATCTGGCCACTCCCATACTCTTCTGAAAGGGCTGAGTTGCCACGCAGGTCAAGATCAGAAGGCCGTCCCTCCAGATCACGATCACGATCACGTTCGCGGCCTTCACGGGCGGCTCAGAGTCTTTCAGGAACCTTGGGGCGTATGTTTTACCAAGTTCACCTTTGGTTCGTGGTCACCCCAAACCCATTCATCCCTCAAACCCATCCTGGACACCTGTCCAGGACACGATGTGACTTCTCAAGGATGCGGGTCTGCCAAACGGATATTCAAGAAGATTTGTTCTGGAGTTTCTTGGAGCTAGATTTTCAAGGCAATGTTTTCTTTGTTCACCCCATCAAAGTGTTGACCGCGCATGGTGGGGTGTGCCATCAATGAAACCATGAGGCTACGTCTGTACGAGATGGCTGCGCTGAAGCGAGGCAGCTGCAAGCTGATGGGCAATCCTGTCCACTCACAGAGCTGTTGGCTTCCTTCACCATTGGTCACGAAGAACGGTCTTTCCAGAGGACGTGTTTGCCCAAAGACCACTGAATTTGATTTTTCAAGAATACAACAAACTTAAAGGTTCAACAATTTAACCTGTTTGAAAGCTGTTCCACCATTTCTTTCCCAGCCCTTTGCCTGGAGGTGGGCTCAAGATGTTTGCAAGATCAAGCCTCAGCGTGTGCAAATACACCAGCGCTTGACTGGTATCATCTACCCTTGGGACGTGTTCAACTATCTTTGGAACGAAAACAAGTTGTTCAGCTTTATCTCTGGAAGAGATGATGACCCCGATCGCGCTGCCTATTCGTGTGCAGACTACTGGGAACATGTCAATAACTTGGATTTCTACCAGGATTTGAACATCTCGATGGATGACAGGGCTCGGACAATTCCTTTGGCTGTTCATGTGGATGGAGTGAAAGTATACCGAACGCACAAAGCCTGGGTCTACTCATGGGGGTCTATGTTGCACAAAGGCAACTCTCTCCACTCGAAAGTGTTGTTGCTCTTGATCCGTGACGCTGACCTTGTGAAGAACCACTCTCACGACGCGGTCGGAAGGCTCATGGGCTGGATATTCGAAGTCTTGCAAAGCGGTGTCTTTCCTTTGACCGATTGTGAAGGGCGTCCATGGCCATTAGGATCTTTACAATCTCAACAGGCTGGAACCTACTTTGCAGGAGGCTGGCGAGCAGCGTTCTCTGCGTTCAAAGCGGATCTTGAAGCCCGCGTCCAAGTGCATAAACTTGTGAGAAACTGGTCCTCCAACTCTATATGTGAGCACTGCTTGGCCAGCAAGAAGCCAGACTTCAGCTACGGGGACTTCTCAAATAACGCAGCCTACTTGGAGTGCATGCTGTCGCATGAACAATTCCTTCTTCTCAACCCCCCTGAACGCCAGAGCTCGTGGACTTGCGTCAAGGGGTGGCGGAAAGAGAGGAACTTGGAGGCTACTTTGATGATATGAAACAAAGGTTTGCAGGTTGTTCAAAGACCACTTGGTCCCAACCAAGGTTAGATAATGGTTCTCTACGTCAGTGTTTGATCGCCCGAGTTTTCCACGCCCCCAACGATAATCAGACTAACAAGATCTAAAACAAGGGTAAGGGCCTAATCGGATCTGTTCTGAGGACATGCTTCACTGCGTGCATCAGGGGGTGGCCTCCATCGCCATCGCCTCCCTCATCACTCACCACTTTGAGGCCTCCGGCGATTGCGATACCCTCGCTACCTTGGACGTGGCTTTAAAGACGATTGCTTGGCCGCATTATCAGGCTTGGAAACACAGGAAGCGAGAGTGCATTGTTCCAACCAGCTCTCAGTTCGATGGGAAAAGATTTTCCCGGGACAGTTGGCAGAGCTTCCCAGAGTTGGCGTCAATCTACAAAGGAGCAATGGTTAAATACTTGATCTTTTGGTGTAGAGATTTCCTCACCGCCCAGCTGGACCATGATTCAACCTATATGGCCAAGTGCAGAGCTTACGCGGCATACTGCCTGGCTGAATTCCAGTATTTACAGGAGGTCAGTGGGCCATGGTTGGATCGAGATGTGGCTGAGAGAATGTGCTACATGGCACGTAGCTTTTTGTTGCTTTACCAATTCCTGGCGGTGTCCACAAGGTCAGAGTGCCCTACAAGGCGGTACTACAAAGTAGTGCCAAAGTTCCACTCCCTATTGCATCTGGCAATGCAGTTGCCTCTCACACGCCGCAATCCTCGCTACGATCACTTGTATAGTGATGAGGACTTCATGCGACACATCTCAAAGATATGCAGTCGGTGCCATGCTTCCACTATGGACACAGTGGCTCTTCACAGATACCGAGTCCTCATAGAACTGTGTGATTTCACCCCTGAACCGATCGTTGCCGAGTGAGCGAAAACCTGGGAGCCCGGGCCTTCGATCTCCATCGTCGGGACATGTTCGGGACCCACTCTATCTAATGTGCACTGTGCACTTTCGAGAGCTTTTAGATTGGACATCCTAGTGCTTGGACACATGTTGCCTCCAAACATATTTGGGTTGTGTTTGCGTGTTTGGTTTTTGTCTGGTTTTAGGGTACTTTACATATTGTTTTAGGATACTTTATAACATATAAAGATCTACTAAACGGCTTCTATGATCGATGCGGGGGATCGGCGAGCAAGCGCATGCTGAACGCACCAAATGACAAACTTAACGTGGAAAAACGCATCAAACAAGAAACTTGACAAACCCGACATAGAAAAACACTGAGAACATTCCGAGTTACAGAAGTTTTGGAGAAACTTCCGAGTTACCAACCATGCATGCTAGATAATCAGTGGCAAAGCTTAAAAGCCATGCCCCAAAAAGCGTGAAAACATAGCATGTCATGGCCAGCAAAAGGCGTGAAACTCATGAATGCTTTTTACGGCGACTTTGGACATGCTACAAGCATGAAGTTGTGAGGTTGGCGCATTCAGGCTCTCCAGGTTCATGCCTTCCTCGTTTCGCTCGAATATCTGAATATATGTGAGTTCACATACGCCGCAGGCCCACTTCGGTACTTGTCCGAGCTCGAAGAGTGGCGTCACGAGAATCGGGGGCTGGCCCTCCTGCTGTCAGTCGACAGCCTGATTAGGAAGAAAGTCTATCGACTGAACTCAGACCAGCGGAAGACCTTCACGACTTTTTCGTCGGCCCTGTTAGAGGTGCTCAACCACCACAAGCAATTGTGGAATGATGCCAGGTCGAGCGCTGAGTTAGACAAGTTCAAGCAAGCCGGACAAGCGGCTCCGTCGACCCCTCCCCGCAAGTCGAAGCGCGATCGCTCGGAGTCTCCGCCCAAGACCTCACCCTCAACCAAAGCTCGGAAAAACAAGGCTCGCCGCGAACGGGCAAAGACTTTGCTCAAGTCGGCCAAGGCGCACCTAGGCTCTCGCCCGAAGGACCCCCCCAAGAAGGATGCTAGGGTCCCGGCTGATGAGTGGGCTAAGATCACTTCGTTCAAGTACTCCGGTCGGAAGAGGTGCCCCCTTTTTCAACTGTTCGCTCGGCTGTCGGTTCGGTGACCAATGCAAGAGTGCACATGCCTGTGTCGAGTGTGGGAAGCCACACCCCTGGCACGGGAATCACTGAATGCCGTCGTCGGCGAGTGGGGGTGCCAAGGCTCCCGCCCCCCCCTCGATCGAGCCAGAGGAGTCAAGTGTCACGCATGACGCGGTCACTCGATCGTTGACAGTGCCACCTGAGGTCCCAGTTTGGCGCTCTTGGAGTGATGTCCCAAGGGACGTGGAGTCGATCAAGGCCTCCGGGCCGTGGTTTTTAGAGATCTTTTCAGGCACGGCCACTCTGACGCAAGCCGTTCGTGCCGTCGGGATCTCGACATCACCCCCTGTGCTGAGGTCCCAACACCGTTCGATGTTGTTGATTCTGATTCTTGGGATTTCATCATGCAGCTCGCTCATGCGGGCGCCATTCGATTCGTTCACTGTGGGACCCCATGTAACACCTTTTCAGCTGCTCGGAAGCCCGATGGAGGACCCCCTCCTCTGCGCTCCCGCGAAGTGCCGCTCGGATTGCCAGGTTTGTCACCCGACAATCATGCCCTTGTTTCCCTGGGCAACCTCTTTTTGGATCGGTCGGCTGAGGTGTGCATGGTCGTGTTCGATCACGGTGGCGATTTTTCCATCGAAAACCCTGAGCACAGCCTTTTGTGGCTGACACCAGCAGTTCGCACTCTCACTCGACGCGCTCGCGCTCAGGTGGTGGATTTCGATCAGTGCGAGTATGGGGCGCCGTCCGTGAAGCCCACACGGCTCCTTATTTCGCATGCCATGTTTTTCCAACTCGCTCGTAGATGTCAAGGAGGCCACAGTCATGAGCTCCTGAAGGGCAAAGTTTGGTCCGAGTTTTTCCAAGCCTTTGTTTTTCGGACTAAGCTTGCTCAAGTTTACCCACATGCCTTGTGTTCACAGTTCGCTCACCTTTTGTTTCAAGTTTGGCCGGCGCTTGGGGAACAGTTCAATGCCAGCTTTCGACTGGTCTCAGAGAAGAGGAAGCGGCCGGTCGGCCAGCCACTTCGGTGGCGTGATCACCGACAAGCCCTCACTGCTCTGAAAGCAGAGGCTGCGGGCTACCAGCTCAAACGAGGAGCGCGGAAGCCGCTCCTGC